CCTGCTCTTCGACCAGCTCATCTCCGACTGCTGCGGGCCCCAGCGCCCCGGCGCGCCCGGGCAGCAGGTACCGCGGGGGGATGGGGGGACTGCGGGGATTGAGGGTACCGTGGGTGGGGATGGAGGTACCGCGGGGATTGAGGGTACCGCGGGTAGGGATGGAGGTACCGCGGGGATTCGGGTGCCGCGGGTGGGGATAGAGGTACCGCAGGGATTTGGGGACCGCCGGTAGGGATGCAGGTACCGCGGGGATGGAGGTACCGCGGGTAGGGATGCAGGTACCGCCGGGATCGTGGGTACCACCGGTCAGGTGGTCAGGATGGAGGTACCACGGGTTGGGATGCAGGTACCAGGGGGACAGGAGGTCAGGATGAAGATGGATGGGACCATGGACATGGGAACTTGGCAATTTTCATAGCCTGATATTGAAAAAATTAAAGATGTTTTAAAGCCCTTCAGAGCTGAGCACTGTAGTGGTGCAGTTTGGATGCTGCTCCGGTGGGAACACACAGAGCTTTGTTATTGCACTGATTCCAGGCTTACTTTACACTTTGGAATGAATTGATTTTTGGACATTGTTCTTCTGTTCCTTGATCTAACTTCATGGTTTTCTTTAGCCACTGTTACTGGCTTTGTTTTGCTTCTGAGTTTAAGTGGTGTTTGAGCAGCAGTTTGGTTCAGCACTGGGATGAAGATCTGTGGGTAAACGAGGGGCAGCTCAGCAGCTGGAGGGTCATTGTCCCTGGGCACTGATGGCAGTGGTGCCCACACACACATCTGGCTGTGAGATCAAAGTTCTGCCTGGTGCTGTGGTTTCCACCCTGGCTTTGTAGTCCCTGAGTAATAAACTGAGGCTTTCTCCTCCAGGATGTTTGTGCTCTGCTTGTCAAAGCCTGTCAGCTGGTTACTCTGGATCAGGAACATCTTGTCAGCAAAGTTTGTCAGCTTATCCATCACTTACTTAACAGATATCAGGTAGGAAAAGTTTGTCTTGTCCCTCCTTTATTCTGGCTCCTGGTCCCTCACTAAGCCAGGGAGGCCTCTGCCTTTTTCCAGGGCTGTGGAGTCAACTTCAGGCAGTTTCTTGGATTTTCATGGTGTAATTTACGCCGAGCTGAGGTTCTGATCTGGCTCATGTAAAACCAACTCTGAGTCAGAAGTGATTCACCATTGGGAATACTCCTGGGTTTGCCTGTGTTGTCTTATCCATTTCTGGATAGTGTCAGCTGGTTCTGTGCTGGTGTGTGGCTTCAACAGCCAAACCAGCCAAGCCTGTGACCAGTACCTCTGTGATTATTGACTCCAGCAGTCCATGATGGTGTTTGTCTTGACCAGAGCCCTTTTCTGTTACGGCAGGTGATGGTTGATGAGCAGACTTTGAATTTCCTCCTCTCCTACTGCATCTCTGCCCTGAAGCAGTGCAGCTCCTGGACGCATGTTGAAATCCTGCAAGCCTTAGCAGCTCTTGTTTACAACAATGGGCCTAAATGTCAGAAGGTGAGTTTCCAAGCTAAGAGAAAGGAATCACCAAAACATTTGCTCCATTTTGCTGTTTGTACTTTATTTCTTTCTTGAGAGGAAGTTCTCGAGTTGTGTTACCTTTTGTGCTAAGATTAGATCCCATTTAAACAGTGACTGATATTTCTGGTGAAGTTGAATTTCAGGTGTGTATATTTAAGGCTAGAGAACAAGATTCTTCCCACATGGAATACCTCTGTCCCTGCAGGCTGCAGCTGTAGGGACAACCATTGCCTGCTCTGAGCCCTCAAGGAAGTGCTCCAGGCTCAGCCTGCAGAGCAACCACTCTGTGTGTCAGGCAGGGAGAACATGGGGAGCTTCAAATTGCTCCACAGGCTCCACTGGGGATCCTGAAACTCATCCTGAAAGCAGATCAGGTGCTCTGTGGGGCTGTTTCAGAGGAGCCTCTCAGGTGTCAGTGCTGTGTGCAGCTCCTTGCTGCTGGCAGGGCTTGAGATGCTGAATTCCCCTGCTGTCACCAGCTCGTGGAGCAGCCTCTGCTGCTGTCTGAGCACAGGGTGCTGATGCTCCTCACAGTCTTGGAGCTGCCAGTTTGTGTGGGTTTGTAGCCCTTGGAGCAGCAGCAGTTTGGAGCAGCAGTTGTTCCTAGCTTAGCTTCGTGTCTGGGGAGAGAGTACAAACTGGGACTCGGCTGAACTGAGCTCACACTTGGTGCTGTTTTAATACAGAATAAGAGAATTTAGGGAATTAAGTATTTCATGCCGTTTTTATGACCCTAATCTGCCTCTGGAAGCTGAAATTGCATTTTGCTTCTCATTATCCTGCTCTGATTTTGGTTGGTAATCAATTGAACTACTAAGTCAAATATGTTTTGCCTGTTATGGTGATCAGTGAGGACCTCTCCCCCATCCTTTCCTCAACTCCTGAGCCTTTCCTGGTGTTTCCTGTCCCCTGCCCAGCTGAGATGGGAGCAGAGCAGCTCTGGTGAGCACCTTGCTGCAGCCAGGGTCAGACCACCACACCTGATGTCCAGCCACCACACACAGGAGGCTGAGGGGAGAGCAGTGCCCCCTGATGTGGTTTTTTGGTGCTTTTTTCAGTTCCTCCCAGATCTGCTGGGCAGGTCTGGGCTCCTGGTGCGGCTCAGCGACTCTGCCCAGCCAGACGTGGAGCTCAGGAGAGCAGCAGTGCGTGGCATGGCCAACCTGTGCCTCAGGTGTGTATGAGCCTCCATGGGGTTTAGGGGATGTACATCAGCCAGCACAGAGCCAGCAAAGTGTCTGAAGTGGAAATGTAAAGCTTTAGTGTTGTAGCATCTGTGCAGAGACTCTGAGGCTTGCAGAGATTAGGGGGGCAAAGAAAAGAAATAAAGGTGTTGTGCTGTCTGGTTCCTGCAGTGACTCCTCGTGCAGAAGGTTTCCTTTTGTTCTCCATCTGGTAGAGCTGAGGCCTTTCAAAGAATCTTCCATCCATCTGGGGCTCCTCAGGCTGGCAGAGGCCTTGGGTCTGAGTTTGTGTGACTTTGTGGACAGATTGTAGACCAACCCTTTGTCTCCTGCTCTGACCTTAGTGTGCCTGGACAGCCATACCTGGATGAGCCCTACAGAAGTGTCTGTTTCCAAACATTCCTAGGTGTCCTGCAGTCTTCAAAGACCCCTGAGGTAGATGACATCGCTTTTTGCATGGTAAGTGTGAGTTTAGTTGTCTAAAATACTCTCAATGAGGCGACTGTGCTGCTGGAATAGATTAAATTTGAGATGTTGTCAACTGAGATTTCACTTAAATGGTTAATATTCTGTATTCTCTTCCTTTTCCAGTAATTATGTTAAGCTAAAACTGTAATTGCCTAGAGAGTTCCTTGAAAGATGTGAACATACAGCATTTTGGGAAGGTGAAGTAAATAATTCTGTGTTTTTCAGCTGCTGCAAAATGCACTGAGAGGTGTCCAGTCACTCCTCAACGGTGGGAAGATGAAACTAATGCAGACTGACCAAATTGGAGCTCTCCTTGCAGTATTAAAGGTAAGTGCTTAAATCCACCTTGAGGAAGAGGCAGACACTGGAAGGCTGCAGGTGTTGGTAGAGGAAAACAGTGGAAGATGAGCAGAGAAGCCTCAGCGTGGGGGGAAAGGGAGTGTGAGATGGAAAGAAACACACACTGAGTTTCTCTCACAGCATCTTAACTGCACTTCCCGCAAGGACTGTGAGAGGAGGGTGGGAGGCTGGTTTTGGACCTGAAATCCTTCGAGAAGTGGGTGAATTTCAGATGTTGCATAGCTGTTACACGTGGGGAGAAACAAATCCTGGGGGAAGGAGCACAAACCTAGCTGGCAATTGGTGTCTGAGTGGATGTACAGTAAATCTTTGTGCCCAGAGGGGGAGGAGTGCTGATGTTTGTGCTCCTGTTGTAGAAGTGCATGTTCCATGGGCTGCCAGGGCTGAGCATCGAGGTGCCCACGGCCCTGTACCCTGCTCCTCTGCCTCAGTATGACAGAAGGTCACCTGGAAAACAGGAGCACTCGGAAGCAGCCCCTGCCAAGCCCTCAGGGGTAAGCTGGGATGATCCTGGGGCCATGCCATGCTCACTGTGCTCCCTGTCCTGACTTCAGTGGCTCTTCGTGCTCTGAGCATGTGATACATCTAATTCTGTGCTTTAAGGGTGGTGTAAACTCAGGTGATGCAACCAAACATCTCTGCAGAGAGCGACTCTCCTTGCTCTGTGCAAATTTTATTCCTCCATGGCCAGCAGCTCCTGCAGGGATGGCATGGGAGGGTGCAGGAGAGCCAGAGCTTTTGATTTTATAAGTTACATTTTCCCTCTCACACTTGCACAATTGTTTGGCTCTTTCTTGGGGAAGTCACGTTCATCTGGAGATTGATTTCTTGCTCATCTCTTCTGCTCACTCCTTCTGAAGGTTGTTAACCCTGTAAACATTTGGGTTTACTGATTATCTGAAAGACATGAGGGAAAATTAAGTTGTGTAGTCATGGTGACTTGTTTCTTTTTAGGTCTTAAATACCCACTGTTAGTGTGAAGGAGCCACAGAAATATTTGATGTTGTTCTCTCATCAATTTTATGTGAAAAATGAGTTTTAACTACAAGGTTTTTGGGAAATCTTGCGCTTCACTTAAGCCAGAGCTTCATTTTTGAGGCTATTGAGTTATAAAGTGCTTCTTGCACTCAGGTATTGCTGAAGTGATGTGGCTGTTGCTATTAACAGCCAGAATTAAGGACTCAGACACTAAAGAGTGACTGTCTCTGGATGCACAGTACTGCTCAGACCTGTAGCTGCACTTTTGGCTAAGCTTTGGCTAAACCAAATCTCATCTGAAATCTGCTTTAGAACCTGGAATAATTTGGTGCTGCTGTACTGTACAGAGGACATGATTTATTGTATTACACTCTGCTTTTATTCTGCCTTAGCAATTAGCTTTGTTTTCTGATGAGACTTAGCTTTGCAACTATCAAACATCTCCATATCTTTCTAGGTATTATTTCAAAAGATAAAGAACATTAGGGTTGTGTTTTTCTCTCTTAGAACCGAAGGAAGAAGTCCAAAGGGAAACAGAAGAAGGGAGAGCCTGGGGAGGAAGGAGGAGAGGAGGCAGGGGCTGCAGGAGCAGAGGCAGTGCCTGTGTCAGACGTGCTGAAGCTGCAGCTGGAGGATGTGCAGAGCAGTCCCTGCCTGGACCGGCCCCGTGCGCCCGACGCCGTGTGCTCCTCCTGGAGAGGTGTCAGCAGCAGTGAGTCCGAGTACTCTGATGCTGAAGGTGGAATACAGAGCAAAGTGAGGTGATTGTGCACCCAAACCTGACCCGTGGGGTTCTTAGGACCCCAGTGCTTTGTTCTTACCAAAACTGCTGAGGGCATCACTTTTCCGTTTGGATTTGTGAAGAGATGGTTTGGCAATAAATTTGTTCTTCCTGCTCTTGTTCTAAACAATTTCCCCTCACACCAGCCACTAACCCAAGTGGAAGAGGTGAAGTCCCATCAGTTTTCCCTGCTGCTTTCATTGATCTCTTTCTTTGTTTCCAAGGTCTTACCAAGCCACCGTCCGTCAGGGGGCTCTGGCCTGTTTCCTCTCTGCTACCAAATCGATTGAGAAGAGAGTTCTTTATGGCTACTGGTCAGCATTTGTTCCTGATGCCCCTGGGATTGGCAGCCCCCAGTCAGTGTCTCTGATGACTATTGCCCTGAAGGACCCTTCTCCAAAGGTGAGGCACTTCAGAGTACAAAATCATTGTGTTTTGCCCCATACTAATCTTACTTATCTCCTCTGGTCTTTGGTGTTCGGCTGCTGTATGTGCTGCTTCGTCACTGTACCACAGTCAGTAATAGAGGATGTATTGTAAGGAAACAAAGATTGATTCTATACTGCTCAGAGTTACTGGGAAGGATAGTTGGAGTTGAGTTTTCTCTTGTTGGAGAAAGATTTTCCTACACTTAAAAACTCTCCATCAGCTCAGAGAGGCAATCAAACCTTTGTGCCACCTTCTCTCCTTGCAGACCCGTGCCTGTGCTCTCCAGGTTCTCTCAGCCATCCTGGAAGGTTCTAAGCAGTTTCTCTCAGTTGCTGAAGATGCCAATGATCACAGGAGAGCGTTCACTCCCTTCTCTGTCACTATTGCTTCCAGCATCCGTGAGCTGCACCGCTGCCTGCTGCTGGCCCTGGTGGCAGAGTCCTCCTCCCAGACACTCACACAGATAGTCAAGGTCAGTGCACTGTCAGTGTGTCAGGTGCTGCCCAGGAGGTGATACTGGTCTGTAGGTTCAGTTCTGAAGGAAGTTTGCACAGAAGGTTTTGCAGCTGTTGAGGACTGAGGGGGTGGTGGGAAATAAACCGTTGTCATCTCATGAGGCTTCACTCACTGAGTTCTTGCAAATCCATAGAATCACAGGGTGGGTTGGGTTGGAAAGGTACCTTAAAACTCATCCCATTCCAGTCCCCTGCCATGGGCAGGGACACTTTCCACTAGACCAGGTTGCTCAGAGCTCCATCCAAAGTTTCTTTTCAGCACAACTCTCGTTTCTATATTTGTTTCATGTAGCCCTTTTGGAGCTGAATGAACCTATAAAATGATCCTGAAGACTCGCATTGACTCCAAAACTGGAATCCAAATTGACCAAAAAATCTTTCCATGGGCTATTGAAATTCCTTGGGTTTCATGCCATGTCACAGTAGTTAAATCCTTGCTCTTAGGAGCCAAGTCAGTACCCAGTTCTCACACAGCGGCTAACTGGGGGTTTGATTTCAGATTATTTGCTGAGTACCCTGAATTGCCAATGTCATCCCAAACCTGCTGGAGACCAGTCTGACCTTGTCCCACCACCCGCGTGTGCTCTGTGTGTTTCAGTGCCTTGCAAACCTGGTTTCCAACGCGCCCTACAACCGACTAAAGCCTGGGCTGCTGACCAGAGTGTGGAGCCAGATAAAGCCCTACATCTGCCACAAAGGTTTGCATTCCCTTTCTGTAGGTTAGGTCCTTATTCAGCGTTGGTATCACACAAGGACTATGGGTTCCCCCTCTCCTCTGTGCTCCATAAAGGCATAACAGCCATAGATGGATGTTCATCGTTGTCTTCTCCATGAACTGCTGGAGGAGGATGCTGTGAGATGCTAGTGGAGTGATTTGTCTTTCTCTTTCTCTTTCCCCACCCTGTCTCAGCTGGCAGATGTGAACGTCAGAGTTTCCAGCCTAACCTTGCTCGGGGCAATAGTCTCTGTCCAGGCACCTCTGCCAGAGGTGCAGTTACTGCTGCAGCAGCCGAACTCCTCGGGGCGGAGCAGCAGCGGCAGCACGAGCCCTCGTCGCTGTGCCCCCTCTGAGCTGTGGAGAAGAGCTCTCCCCCCCTCAGAGGGAGGATGTGCAGCAGGCTGTGCCTCTCCAGAGCCCTGCTGGCTGCTCCGACTGTGTGTCTCCATCGTGGTCCTGCCCAGGGAGGATTCCTGCTCCGACAGCGATGCCAACTTCCCGTCCTTGTCCAGCGTCTACGAGCCCTGTCCCCTGCGGCTGGAGTCCTTGCAGGTGGGTGGGAACAGGATGCCCCTGTCCTCGGCACTGGTAAGGCTGCATCTTGAGCACTGGGCCCAGTTCTGGGCCCCTCACTTCCAGAGAGGCATTGAGCATGGATGCTGGAGCATGTCCTGAGAAGGGTTTGGAGCACAGGAGGGGCTGAGGGAGCTGTGGGGGCTCAGCCTGGAGGAAAAGAGGCTCAGGGAGAACCTTCTTACTCTCTGCAGCTCCCCGCCAGGAGGTGCAGCCAGGAGGGGTCAGGCCCAGTTCTGGGCCCCTCACTTCCAGAGAGGCATTGAGCATGGATGCTGGAGCATGTCCTGAGAAGGGTTTGGAGCACAGGAGGGGCTGAGGGAGCTGTGGGGGCTCAGCCTGGAGGAAAAGAGGCTCAGGGAGAACCTTCTTACTCTCTGCAGCTCCCCGCCAGGAGGTGCAGCCAGGAGGGGTCAGGATCGGATCTG